GAGCAGCTTAACAGGAGAGCTAACAAGAGAGCTAACAAGGGAGCTAACAAGAGAGCTAACAAGGGAGCTAACAGGGGAGCTAACAGGGGAGCTAACAGGAGAACTAACAGTGGAGCTAACAGAGGAGCTAACAGGGGAGCTAACAGGAGAGGTAACAGAGGAGCTAACAGGAGAGCTAACAGGGGAGCTAACAGAAGAACTAACTAACTAATGTAACAGCCATCAGAGTCTGAACTGATACCAGTTACAACATTTACCTTTTGGATCTTTAAGTTATTTTTGATTTGAATTAAATTTTAATTGATAGCTTAGCATTTAATGTTTTTTTCTAATATTGAAACTGTTTAGTTCTCTTAGTTCCCTAACTTAATTTTTCAGTATAAATCTTAAAGCGTTACTTCATTTGGCTGTTTTATAAACTTAAATTTTTGATGTCCGTGTTTAAGTTTTGGTTGTTGACTGTTAAGAATTGTTAAAGTGGTTAGTCATTTATATTCATGCTTTTATTTTGAAGTGGGTGAAGACTGTTTATGCAGTAGTTCCATTTCTTCTTACCCAGAATGCATCACTGTAGTTATACAGTTTAAAATCTGCTGATGTCCTGTGGCTTCCTAACCGAAGTACTGCTGTGGTCAGTCAGGCTAAATCAAAATCAGAATTAGCAAAACTGCACAACTATAGAACTGAAACCAGCAGTGAAACGTTTGTTCCAGATAACCTCAGGCAGGTGCTACGCTGTAGCACATTTTGTGTTATTGACACATGGTGGGTGTCAACATGATTGAATTTATCACCTTAGAACTCATTTCTAGCAAATAACGTGTTAGCAAAGTGTTTTAGTGTTAGCGCAGCTAACCTTTGAGTTAACTGTGCTAACCCTAAAGCGCTAATCGAAACGTTACAACACTGAAGTGCTATGCCAAAATGTTATTTAGTACTAGCGTTAACGGTAAGGCGCTAAATTTAACCATGGTGTCACCCACCATGTTGAAGCTGGTGCATTAGCTTCTGCTAAATACTGTGTTGGTACAGGGTTTTAGCCCTAGTAGCGCTAATGTTCATTAGCCCTGTAGTGTTAGCGCAGCTAGCTATTTAGTTAGCGATGCCACCAGTGACTGAAACGATCTGGATTAACGGTTCTCCAGGATTTCAGGAGGATTTTTTTGGCTCCAAAATGTAAAAAATGAGAGTTGGATTGGATCGCACTGCGAATGTTTCTGTGGTGCCAGACCCTGGTGCCAGACCCTGGTGCCAGACAGTGGTACCAGACCCTGGTACCAGACAGTGGTACCAGACCCTGATGCCAGACCCTGATGCCAGACGGTGGTACCAGATGGTGGTACCAGACCCTGGTCCCAGACAGTGGTACCAGACCCTGGTACCAGACAGTGGTACCAGACCCTGATGCCAGACCCTGGTGCCAGACGGTGGTACCAGACGTAGAGTCTCACCGTTGTTCCTAGGGTTCCTCAGGCTGAACGGAGGACACAGGGCCGGGGACGTTGTCCACTGATTGACTGAAAACACAAACATCTCATCATGACTGCGTCCTCCTGCAGGACATGCCTGAGCTAGCGTGTCTGTGTGAGTCTGGTACCGGGTTTCTGGTACCAGCCGAACGGCTCTGGGGACGTCTCTGCTTCAGGAGGCGAACAATCCTGAGTCCTCCAGGTTGAGGCGTCGTCTTCACTGCAGGTCAGAACCCCGAGGCTGATCAGAGGCAGACAGAGCAGGCCTGAACACACAACAACAACATCATCATCATCATCATCACCACCACCATCATCATCATCATCACCATCATCTTCATCATTAGATGAAGGCCTGATTCTGCTCATCTCCTAATTTTGACCTCAGCTGGATTTACCTCTTGATTTGGTCTCATGGACAAACCCGAAACCACGGCAACAGGGGTCCTCGTCGCAGCGGCGCTCGCACTCCCTGAACCTGGAAACAGAAACGGCTCTAGATGAAAACATGGATGAAGGCTTGGAGGCAGACATGATGCTGAAACTGACAGACATTGTGGTTCTGACATTGTCTGTCCCTGGGTCTCTGTGTTTCATTTGTCCCCATTGTGTCTTATTGTGGAAAGGGAAACATTGCTAAGAGTGATGCGGTTATAATAACCCCTAGTGAAGTCCAGCAGGCTATAGCGTGAGAATAAGGCAACATGTTCTGACAGCATTGCAGCAGAACATCTGAAATAAGCAAGTCATAAAGTGTCTGTGCTGCTTGCAATGTGTTTCTCTGGGTTCATGGCCCAGGGCCCGACTCCTGATTCCTTATTATCGGTCACCTGGTGCCTGTAATTAAGGACAAAACTAGCAAAGTTGGTAGCCTTAATAACTACGGATCAACAGTGTGATCTCTAAATCTTGCTGAGTCGTCTCAATCAGTTTATTAGTGCAACAGATAATCAATTTGGTTTCAAAGCCAAGTTGGGAACTGATGAGGCAGCAGAAGCAAATCTAATGAAAGGTGAATCTGTGTTAACTGGGTTTGTTGACGCCTGTAAGGCCTGTGATTGGGTCAATCGCTACCAGTTATTTGATAAATTAAATCAGAGACGTGCTCCAGATATTATTATATGAACTTTAGTTTGTGGTATTCTAACCAGAAAATGGATGTAAAATGTGTTAATATCATCTCTGCCTCTTGGTGAGTAACAGTGGGTCAGAGGTCACTTCTCTGACCTGCCCTGTTTCACCTGAACATGGACGAACCTCTGCAGAACTGGATGTTTGATCAGTGATACTCTGGTTAACTGTGTGCTGATGACCAGGCTGACCTTTGATCCAGCAGTGCTGGTTTTCAGCAGTTACTGGATATCTGCTCTGATTATGGGCTGAGATATGATGTGCAGTAAGAAAACTGTGTAGGACAGAAGAAGAACTTTGTTTCCTGATGTTTTTCTGTTGGGGCAAAAGTTAAATGTTTGTTCCTAAACTAAATATGTGGGTCACAGAGCAGCTCTGTGATGATGGTGACGCTTATCGGCAGTGTTCATGTTGTACGCCCAGGCTAACACACTGGGGAGGAAGTTTCACATGTGCACTGATGGGGTATAATAAGGCTGTTCAAAGCTGACTGTACATCCCTCTACACATCTCCTTTGAGGTGTACATTTACAAAGCCAGCATGCAGAAACTTAAGGTCGCTTAGAGACTCCCTGAGAAGTCAGTTAGGAAAGCAGGTCCAGCTGTGCAGTGATGTTTGTAACATGTCAGGACGCTCCAGGCACTCGTGAGAAATGTGATGTACAAGTTTATGTGTCGTTTGTGCAGCTTATTGAAAAGTCTTACTGTAATGTTTTCACATCCTGTCAGGTACAAGTCGGCTCTGTGGAAACATTGGCATGCAGGTCTTTTATAACATTTCATTTTATTTTGTGTGTTGCTGTTTCAACCAGTCTGTTGAAACAGTGTCTCACTTTGTCTCAGAATGTGTTTTTGTCTCTTTATGTCTGAATTTGTCTCATATTGTCTCCTGGTGTCCACCATGTTGTCCTGAATGTGCTGAGGTCAGACTGTCTCGACCTGCGGGTGTTCTGGTTCTGGTCTTACCCGTCAGGCAGCAGCTGGTTCTGTCCCAGCGTGACCCGGTTCCTCACAGAGTATGACACCATCTTCTGGAAGGGAACCCGCTCATAAAAACTCTGGACCGGTCCGCTCAGATCCACTAAAACAGAACCAGAACCGTCATTGTGTCCTTCATTCAGACTCGGATCCCAGAGCCTCATCCTCACCCTTCTTGCTGTAGGTGTTGTTGGTCGCTCTGTCCAGCAGGGGGCGACAGGAGCGTCTTATCGGCTGGTCGTAGCCGCCGCAGACTCTGGTGTCCGGATACAAGGCGCAGCGGAAGAAACGGTCCGACTCAGATTCTCCGAGGTCGGTGACAGAACACCACTCCTCTTCATCACAACCTGAAACACAAAACCATGACGGCTACTGAGCGCTGCCTCCAGCCGGCAGGGTCACTGCACCTTCCACAGAGCATCTACGCAGCCAGAGGGCTCACTCTGTCCTTTTTCTATATCTATAAGGGCTCAGTAGCTAGAGTTACTAGCTCTAGCTACTGACCTTTTTGTAACCTTTCACAAAAAGGTTGACCTTTTTGTGAAAACTTGTTTAATTCTGCAGTATTTTGCCTAAAACTTCCTCGGTGCTGCCCTCTTTCAGTTGAATGGCAGCATTGCAGTTGCATTTTACCATTGGTTACAACGGTCCAGCAGAGTTGATGTCTGCGTCGCAGCCTGGCATTCAGCAATAAACCAGCTCACTGAAAGTCTAATAACACAAAAAAGTTGCTAATTTGTTGATGATTGTCTTTTTGAAAATTCACTAATGGGTCTGAAAAGTTGCTAATTTGGCAAGGCAACAGCCCCACCCTCTGCTAACCACGCCCACTCTGACGTTTTGGGGGCGGGGCTAAACTTTCACAGAGCTGTTAGTTACGAATTAAAAACAAACATCCTGCAGTTGAAGTGAAACCTGAAATCAGTTCCCACAGAGGAGAGAAACCACGCATCTGTTAAAACAGAAAGCTGCATACGTGTGAGGCACCAGAGCAGGGCATTCTGGGAGCTGTAGTCGTTTTTGCTGAGCCAGAAGGAGAGAACGGGCTGTTTCCTCTGAGGGTCCACCAGGACCTCGGCGCTGGACAGAGACTGGAACCTCAGCTGGACAGTCGCTGCAGACAGAACCAGCGTCTTCATCACAACATTCATCAGGAAACTCATCGTCATCATCAGAGCGGATCAAACCGTTCAGAGGAGCCGGAACCTCTGCTGCACCGCAGGACGCTGATCCAGAACCACCGGCGGCTGCAGCTGAGACAACAGAACCTGGTGAGTCGAGCAGAACCATAGCAAACGGGTCAGTCCAGGAACAAGGCGTACCTGTGTTCAGGTAGATGGCCTGGAAGCTGATGATGGCGGCCTGGTAGTCCTTCCTGTTTCTGCTGTCGCCAGGCAGAGCGCTGTCAGCTGGACAGAACCAGAACATTCAGTCTGGGTTTGGACCGGGCTGGTCAAACCGAGCTGCGTCGCTTTCTTACTGATGGTGAACTTTTCTCCGCCAAAGTCGAACTCGAAGCTGCGCTGCTGCTTGCTGTAGCTAAGCCCCGCCCCACAGATCCTATTGGCCGGTCCCTGGCCAATCACGTCCCAGTCCTCGTCCTCACACATCAGAACCGACGGCGCTCTCAGCCAGCCACACAGCAGGGAGCCTTCATGGGTCAGACAGCAGGTCAGCATCCAGAAAGGCCCAGTGAGGCTCTGTCTCCATGGCAACCCACCTCCATCCAGGACGTTCTGGTTGAGGATGAACCCGTGGCAGCAGGCGTCGCGGCTGCAGCCGTCCTGGCAGAACCGGCGCACGTCGGACAGAGACGTGTTCCTGGAGGAGAACACCTGAGTCCTGAACACACCTGAGACCGCCTTCCTCATCCTCATCCTCACAAAACTCTGGTGCTGAAGCTCCGCCCCTGGAACAGAGGACACACCCACATGAACACGCCCAGGTACGCTCACACCTGGCCAACCAGTGGAGGCCGTTTGGAAAGATCATCACAAATTAATCATCTGGATTAATCAGCCTGAAAACAACAAATATTTGTACTGTATTATTCATTCATTTATAAATGTCACAGTTTCAAAGCTAGCTACTTAGCCTGAAGCTAACTTTGTAAATAGCAAGCTAACTATTTAGCTAAGACCTAAGTATTCAGTTTACCAACTAAATGGTTAGCAAGCTAACTATTTAGTTGTTGATAAAGCTCCTAAATATTTAGTGGTTCTGGTTGTCATAGTAACTATTAATCTCCCTGAACTAAAAAAAAAGCTGAAAATGTGGCAGAAAATTAATGAAATGTGTTAATAAATGTGTTCCTGAAAACTTCCAGCAGGACCTCAACAGGAAGCAGATTGGATCCGTGCAGAGGGTTCTGGTTAAAGAGAGTTAAAGGTCACATGGCGGCGGCAGCTCACCGTTCTTCCTGAGGACGAACAGATCTGAAGCTCCGCCCCTCACCCTCAGAGAGCAGCGCAGCTGGTGGAACCGCTCGGCCCGAGGATTACCCAGAAACCCCGTGGCCTGCAGAAACACACACAGCTGGAGCAAGATCCTGGCTCTGAAGGGCTGACCTTTGACCCGAAGCCTGCTTACCTGCTGGGAGGCGCTGCAGACAGCATTCAGAGAGCTGTACAGGTCACAGCGGGTCCGCCTGTCGAACAGCGCCACATGGTGGCAGGACGGCTCCACTGCACATGCTGAGACAAACACAGGACGTTCACAACCCAAACCAGAACCGGGACCAAACTGGTCCTGGTTCTGGTTTGGTCCTGGTTTGGTTCTGGTCCTGGTTTGGTCCTGGTCCTGGTTTGGTCCTGGTTTGGTTCTGGTACTGGTTTGGTCCTGGTTTGGTCCTGGTTTGGTCCTGGTTCTGGTTTGGTCCTGGTCCTGGTTTGGTCCTGGTTTGGTCCTGGTTTGGTTCTGGTCCTGGTTTGGTCCTGGTCCTGGTTTGGTTCTGGTCCTGGTTTGGTTCTGGTCCTGGTATGGTTCTGGTCCTGGTTGGGTCCTGGTTTGGTCCTGGTCCTGGTTTGGTCCTGGTTTGGTTCTGGTCCTGGTCTCCAGCCCCGACCATCAGGTCCGACTCAGGAACAGCCTGGAACCGGGTGAGAACTGAACGACAGAAAGCGGGTCAGAACCTCGGAGAGCTGCGCTCTGATTGGCTGCCGGGCCGCCTCACCTGAGCACTCCTCATCCGTCAGACGCTCTTCCCGGCTCGTCCACTCAAGCTCCACCCCCTCGTTGCTGACACACCTCCAGCCCCCAGACAGGAAGTTGGGCTGAGCCAGCAGGAAGTCGCCGCTCTGCGAACAGCGCAGGCCCCTCCTCTCGCAGTCCGTCTCACCTGAGAGGCAGACAGGTGAGGAAAGAGGTTAGTAACTCACCTGAGAGCAGGTGAGCAACACTGGAGCATCAATAAAACAGGAAGCGAGTTTTTAATTTTTCCTTCAGAGACTCACACTGATTGGCTGCTGAAGCGCCTGCAGGGGAGGAGCCTCTGGGACACCTGGTGCAGAAGTCCCGCCCCTCTAGCTCCTGATAGGTTCCCTGAGGGCAGAGCAGACACACCCCCTGCTGGTAGAAGCTGCCGGCAGGACAGACGACTGGAAACGAAACAATGGAACCGTGAGCCTGCGCCGGACGGAGGCCCGCAGGGACAAACCGCCTCACTCACCGCAGCCTGCGCCGTCGCTGGACAGCCGGTAACCATGGGAACAGCCAAAGGTTGGCGGCGCCACCGAGACCAGTTCGGGGTCAGATGTCAGCATGGAGCGGAGATTACCCAGAATTCCCTGAACTCCTTCCAAAAGTCTGGATTCATTCAGGAATATCACTGACGGAAAAAATAAAAACAGGATCATTTAATCAATAAATCAATAAATCAGCTTTTCTGACACACACTGCACATATTCTAATGCAGCTGTCTTCTAATTAACCAAAACATTTAACAAGTTGGAATTATGAAAATAGATCTGCTAATAGAAACGACATTTCTAGAAAAAAGGTTTGACTTTGAATCCATGGCATCTGAACAATCAGCAAAATTCCCAAAACGGAGCATAAATACATAAATACACCTCCTGTTCACATCTATCGTTTTTACAAATAATGACACAAAATGACTTTAATCCCATTTATTATTTAATGGAAGTTTATTGTAGTTTTGCTCTGCTAAAGCAAACGTTACTTATTGTAACTATGATGAGTTTGAATTTAAATCTGTAAATTTATGGAGAGTTTCTGTTTCTGAACTGAATCTGTCAACTAAAAAACTGTGAGATGATATTTGATGCTCATCAGAAATCTGTCAATTTGAAGTTTGAATTAAAAACCTAGAATGTTTCCACTGATATCTGCTCAGATCTGACGCTTAGTGACAGAGAAGCTGAAATTTGAGTCTCTGTTTAAGGAATACTCGCCCATGTGATGGAGGTGAGGGAGGTCAGAGGTCGTGAGGTCGGAGAGGTCGGCGGTCCAGCGCAGCGTGAGCCTCACCGAGTCGCCGGCGTCGCACCACAGACCCACCGCCGAGTCGCCGCACAGCGCCACGGACCGACCCGACGGGAGCTGAGACACGAAACGAGCCGGGTCAGAACCGGTTCAGAACCAACCGGGCCACCCAACTGCATGAGATCCAGCTCACCTGAGCAGAGCAGAGCCCCCTGCTGGCCACGAGGCTGAACAGCAGAGACGACAAACCGCTGATACGAGAGCAAGAGACGGAGAGCGACCAGATCTGAGAGGAAGACAAAGACTGGAGGGGCTGGGAGACTAAGACACACACACACACACACACAGACAGAGAGAGAGACACACACACACACACACACAGACAGAGAGACACACACACACACAGAGACACACACACAGATTTCAGATTAAACCAAATTACTCCAGATTACTCAACTCATTTAAAATTAAACCAGATTAAATTTATATCGATAAATATCACATTACCAAAAAGATAAATAAAACAAAATAAAACCTGACTGACTCACTCTGACAGGCTCCACTCAGAGGTTTGTCTCCTTCGTCCCATTGGCGACTCTTAATGCTACACAGGAAACTGCTAACAGGAAGTGAGTTCTGGTAACCATGGTGACAGACAAGGTCACAGCTCTGCCGACCATCAGCCGCTGGATGGCACACCAGTGCACCATGGGTAATGTTGGGGGCGGGACAAAGAGGACCTGCACATAAAGAGCAAACATTTGGACCAATCAGGAGCCGGAGCTGCAGTTCCACCTTCGTCCAGCAAGGGGCAGCCCAGGTTCAGACTCACGGTCACATGACGGCGTGCGTCCCGTTTGTCGCAGCGATCGGGTCCCGGCCATTTCCTGTCCGTCCTCAGAAACGCACCAACAAGAAGTGACATCACACTGCAGTGGGTCGAAGGAGCCGTCAGGGCGACAGCGGAGCCGCTGCAGCTCACACCAGCTGGGACCTGAAGGCAGCACCGAGTTTACAGAGCCACCCTGAATGCACCGCAGGCAGCACACTGCACCTGAGTGTGTGTGTGTTTACAGGTCAGCTCTCCGGCGGCGCTCCGGGATGCCGTCTGGAGCGTCTCTCCTGTCAGCGGGTTCACACACCAGCCTGCAGCGCCCCCTGTCTGCAGCACAGAGAAACGGCCATCCTGAAAACAGGAAAACAATTAAACCTTTATTAAAACAGGAGAGAAACAAAACGATGCATGATAGCAAATACAGAAATGCAGGTTATATTACAGTTTGGAGAAAAAAATCAATACACAGTTTAGATTTTGAGTCCAAAGATCTGACAACGGTTCATCTTCAGTTCACAGATTTTGTTTCTGCGTTACGATTTTCAGGATTTTTGTAAATCCCAATTTGTCTTTATTTAATCAATCATCTGTTCTTCAAAATATTTTCAAGACGCTTCCACAGCTGATGTTCACTCAGACAAAGAGAAATGTGTCTTAGCGCCACTTTTCAGAGGAAGTCCAGCCCCCAGAGTCTTAACTGTAAAACGCAAATAGAAAAGAACCAATTTGAAAACTTGATCTGATTTTTTTAAAAGTAAAATGTAACAAAATAATTTGAAAAGTATCTGGGAAAAAAAACTTTTTTTAAAGAATAGAAAACAATCGAAAAAAATCACATTCGAAAAGATAAAATTTTAAAATAAAAAAAATCTTTAAAAAATTATTTGAAAATATAGAATGTGAAGAAAATTTGAAAAAATTAATTGATACAATAAAATGTAAAAGCAATAACAGAAACGCATGAATGTAGGTACAATTATTTCAGACACATTGTAACTCACTCTCATCTTTTGATTGAGAAATTTTGCAGGGCTTAATATTTGAAATGCATTTATTTTATTTTTTCACATTTTAATTTCTGAAGTGTTTTCTTTGAAAGCTCTAATATTGGAAGAAATTTCTTTGAAGGCCACACAAAATCATATTGAGGACTGAAAATGGCCCCTGGCCCACGCTTTGGCCAACAATGACCCACAGTGAGCTCTGTCTGTGTGTGTGTGTGTGTGTGTGTGTGTGTGTGTTACCTGCTCACACTGTGGGTGGTAAGGCGAGGCGGTGGTGATGTCAGAGGCTTTCATCCAATCAGAGAGCAGAGAGTGAGCCTCCGCTCTCTGGCAGCGACTCCGACCTTCAGCAGGAAAAAGTTTTAATCAGAAAAAACCGACAGGAAGACGAACCGATCCACTTCCGGGTGTGAATACTTTCTTACAGCGCGGCAGACGGAGCGAGCGGCGCAGAGACCCGGGGATGAACTCTCCTTCTTCATCCACACACCAGCACTGACCTCCCCACACACACACACACACACACACACACACACACACACACACACACACAGAGAGAG